CAGCCTACAGAGTTGCCCGTGCATGACCCCATGGAAGTCTGACAACCAATCAGAATATAAGTTCAAATTCAAAAGCCCAATAGAGGGCATAAAACCCAGGCACTTTGAGCCTCTCTTCCCTTTTTTTGCACAGAATCTCAAGCCATGTGATCCTGTCTATCATCAATAAACCTTTCAAAGCAACTTCCATGAATCCAGGGTCTTTTTCTCCTCTTGAAACTGAACCCAGAAGGATATTTCTTCCAACACCAGGAGAACCATAACTCTAGAATCCATTTTTGAGCCATCCCATTTTCTATCTAAAGACATCTGGAACAGCTTTGGTGCTCTGAGGACTGCAGGTTGTCCATCGTCACTCCCACGACAAGATAAAATTTTGCCCAAATCCAAGGATAACGGCCATTCAAGCTCAATTTTGGGGAGAACCTTTGTCTCCTCCCCAGGAACAGAGAAGCCATTGATTCCCACCTGATCTTTTCTGATCCTGCTGATCCACCGGGAACCAAGGAGAGCAAAAGTTGGCCGATTGGAAGAATTTCATCCCTCCAATTGGTCTTTTCTCCAATTAAGCAACCACCAATCAGTCAAGTCAAAGGATTGAATAATACGGGAGGGGGGGGGAGAAAACCTTCCATGTTTGCTTTCTTTGTCTCAAAACAAACACACACAAAATTGGGAAGGATCAACAAACAATTGCCTGGAGAATTCTCTCGGTGCCCCAAACACGCCACGCCAGGCATTGCTGTAATTTCAGGTGCAAATAAGAAACAAACAGCAGGGACGAATGATTGACGGGTGTTGTACATTCTGTTTCCAGCCAGATGTCTTTCAGTGTGTGTGTTGGGTTGGGGGGGAGGGGGGGTGTCACGATCTTGGGTGGTGGTGGTGGTGGAAAATTGAGCGGCGACTAAAGATGAAATTTGGTGCTGAGTTCTTGCTGCTCTCCCCCTTCTCCTCCAAAGCTTGCCTGGCCCAGCCATGCCCCCCTCCCTCCTGTTGGCCAAGGCCAGCTGCAAGAAACCCAATTATTGCTTTGGCCAATCTTTTAGCGCAGAGACACCGAGTCAGTGGATACTCCTGCTAGTCCTTGCTCTGATTTATTAGCCATCAAGCTTCCAAAGAAAGCAGCTTGGCAGCCTTTGATATTTTGAGAAGTTCAGCACACTCCCAAGGAACAGTTTGCGGTCTTCTAACAGTAGTAAAAAGTTGGAAGTGCTGAAACTGAAGCTACTACTCAAGTTGAACAAGCCATTCCTAATCTCGCCCGGCTTCAAACAGGCCTGCCCTATTTATTTGCATTTTTTATATTGCACTAAATCAAAGGTGCTCAAACTATCCCCCTGGGAGGGATACGTGCAATGAATGTTTGTGTTGCTGCAGAGAGTCTCCCCCTTCGGGGTCTTTGTGCAGCTCGGAAGGGGGCAGAAATTCCAACTTGGGGTCTGCTTCGGCTCCTGGTGTGGGGCTTTGGGCGAAGGCTGGAGGGAAGCANCTTCCTTCCTTCCTTCCTTCCTTCCTTCCTTCCTTCCTTCCTTCCTTCCTTCCTTCTCTTTCCTTTCTTTCTTTGTTCCTTTTACTTTTTTTCTTTCTCTTTCTTTCCTTTCTTTCCTTTTTTCTTTCTTCTACGAAAGAGCAGATGAAGATTAAAATTTAAAGGAAGAGGGAAGGTTTTCCTTTCCTTTCCCTTTTTTTGTTTTGTTTTGTTTTAAAATTGGAGTTTTCCAGACATTCCTGGTAGCAAGTGCACAGCTCAGACAGACAGCAAAAAGTTAGGCCTTGAATGGGGGATTACCTGCTTGGGGCCAGAGGTGGGGGGGGGATTTAACATCGTCCACATCTGGAGTTGGTTAGCGGCAGATCACGCTGGAGCCCTCCCTGCCTTCAAGAGAAGGAAGGCACAAAGGTTGGACGTATCAGAATTCGCGAGTCACAGAAGTTGAGAGGGACAGAATAATTCTCCCCCAGTTGCTTTTCTGTGTCTTAGCGTAGTTGAGAGGTTGAGGGAAAATGTACTAACCAGGCTCCTGGCTTAATCTCTTTAGTGCAATTTTTTCAACCCCGTACAGAAATATTTGCATGCTTGGGCGTTGGCAGATTGCATTGGTGATGCTGCAACCGGCTGGGGTGGCTAATTCAGACCTGTTTGGAGGAGACATCAAGATGACCATAGCAATTGAGGGACTCTGGAAGACTTACTACAAGGTCCCTTCCAATTCTGTGAATCTGTTAAAAACTCCGCCACATGGCCACTCCAGGTTGGGCCAAGAAGCCCTCTGGAGTAGTGGGAACCTCTCCTAAGAATAGGCCCAGGCGTAGATTTCTTGAAAACTGGAAGAGACATTGGAAGGAGGGGCCAATAGTCACCCAGATCCTTCAAGCTGAGGTGGCCTAAAAAAACCCTAATCAACCAGATCGTGTCTGTCCGTTAATCCGCTCCCTTCAATGTTGTCCTCTCGTTCCAATGTCAGAATCTTTCTTCAGACTGAGTTGGAGCTTTGCTCATGTGTGTGCGTGTGTGTGTGTGTGTGGCTTCTAGGCTGTTTCTGGTGTCCTCTGGCCAGAGGTTGACTTGGGCTAGTTTTACGTCTTGTATGCCAGTCAAGCTGTTGCCTCTGCAGATGTGGGTCTTCTAACCCAGTGGTCTCCAACCTTGGCAACTTTAAGACTTGTGGACTTCAACTCCAAGCATTCCCCCCGCCTCCCATCAGCCATGATGGCTGAGGAATTCTGGGAGCTGAAGTCCATAAGTCTTAACGTCGCCAAGGATGTTCTCAAGTCCTTCTAACCTGGGTTGACGCTGAAAGAACCCAATAAGAAACGAAGGGAAAGTGATAAAAAGCCAGCCAGCACTTAAATTTGGATGACACCAGTGCAAGGAGTCCT